CAGATAAAGAGATAAAACTCATAAAATTTGTTTGTTTTTTGGAGTAACCATTGCTCATTTAAAGTTTCATGCCAGCAACATGTCAAACCAGTTTAGACACAAGTTTTCTGAAACATCTCCCAACTAATGAGGTTTATTTGCACCAAGTTAGTTTCTTGACTGGGTTAAGAAAGGTCATCCTGGAGAGGCAGAGTCTCTCATACTGGGGAGAGGTTCACCACTCGGTCAAAGACTGCCTGCAAAAACAGCTTAATGATTTCAGAACGATGTTTTTGACACAAATTTGCAATGAATTTAAGGATTTCATCGACTGTTGGACAGGATGCAGAGAATCTTGACAAGACTCTGTACAAAAGAGACCAAGCCAAAAAAAGTTTGCTGGATGGCTCTGCATTAAAAAAGACACGACTATGTAGTGAAAATCACTGCATGGATTCTGTAACATGCAATCGGAAGCCAGGCTTTCCTCTCGGTAAAGGTAATAAAACTCATAAAATACTTGTGCCATTGACTCAGAACATCTATCAAGGCCCAGCTATCTCCACACAGAAAATAAACAGGTTATCAATCAGAATAAAGATAAACAGTTGGATCTAAAAGTAGTACAGATCATAGCATTGGTATCCCCAAGTTCTCTGACACGGGGAGTACCACACTCTTTGGGAACCGCTGGATTAAAGTAAAGTGGAAAACTGCCAAACCAGAAGTTGGCGGTCTTTTTGGAAATCATGCACACTACAGCTTCTGCTGGAGAGGACACCAACTGTTGAATGATACACACAGATTTTGGTGCTGCCATTGAGATCTTCTAGCATTTATGACAACAGTATGGCTCTGTAGTAGAGGAGTCCTGGTGCCAAACTGAACTGTTGGCCGTCCTGTCTTTTCACCTGTTCAAAACATTTGATGCTTCATACGCAAAAACACAAAGAGAACTCTAGACTGTTAACCAGATACAATTTTACAAGAGTAGGACAAACTGTAGCTTTCTGAAACTCCAGAGTTTGGTCTCTCTGGTTCTCAAACATTTACAGTGTGTTGTCAAAATGGGAGGTGATGCAACACAATAGTAAACATGCTCCTGCACAAACTGTTATGAAACATGTTTTTGGTATCAAATTTCAATATTCCCTTGCAACACAGTGTAACATTTGGTGTCCTGTTCTTGCACTATTTTCACTTAAATTAGGGGCTGAAATGACAATATCAAACCATGAGATTATGTTTGAATTAACACTGCGTGCCAGCTTTACAAAAACCGGTGTTGTAATTCAGGTGTGTAATAAGGCAACAAGAGGGCCACTGACAATAGGAGAGCCAAGCAGTTGCTATGATATCATCATCTCTTTATTTGATTTAATTACTTTAACAAACACCGTCCAGCACCTGCTCCCTAATTTAAAGGGACAGCTTCATAAACTGAGAGATCTGTTGCCTTGGAAACAAAGGGGGAATGAGTGAGAGTTACGCACACAAAGACTCTCACATACACAAACATAAAAAGTAAACAGAGACTCTCAAGGTTTTAGGAGTAATGGAAAGCACTGGTACAGTGCAGTGCTGTTTGTGTGTGTCAGGTTTTATTGCTGCCTGTCACCAGCAGTCAGTTTATAAGCTGGGTGATGGAGACCAGAGAGTTACAGAGAGCCTGAAGCTCAGCTGTTGCAGCTGTTAAACTGAAGTGTCCGGGTCACACACACTCACACACAAACACACACAAGCATCACACAGCCGTTCCATCCACATCCCCCCTTCAGTTTTTACCTCTGTCTGCTTCTCTCTTCCTGTGGCCTCTCTGTCTACTTTCCTCAACTCTCCTCTCTCCATCATCCCCACCATCCACCTGCTCTGCGGTCAGAGGGGCAGGTTGGCGTGAGGGATGTGTAAACAACGACACCCATCCAGCTCTGCTCACATTTACATGTATTCACACACACAATTACACAAAAACAGAGGCCCACAACACCTGGTAATCCTCCCAAGCTGGGCAGCAGGGGGGGTTTGGTTTGGATGAAGGGCTGAGTTTCATTGTGAAACCATACATCAGAGTGATGTCTGATGTAGCCCAGCAGCTGGGACTTGTCATAATTTATACAACAAACATAATACTGTGTTATGTCTGTATAAGAATTCAAAGGGAAAATGTGTTTTTTGTTGAGTTTAAAGTGAAAAACGTTCAAAACAAAAGAAAAAAAAACTGCTTCAACTTTTTTAACTGTTTCTGTCAACAAAATAAATGGATGCTGGAGTTTCTGCTTTGTTTTGGACTTTGAAGATCTTCTGGGGCCTGTTGGACTTTTAAGCTGCTAAATCAGCAGCTGGACTGTTCGATGATACATCCATCAGATGGTTGCAAACTGTGTCCGGACACTTTTTTCTAAACTGATGAAAACAAAAGTGAGAAAAAGACCTTTTTATAGAAAACACTGTTTAAGCTCAATTCAAGTATGACTAGAAAAGTTAAGTTTAAATAGCCGTACAAAGGAGGGGATAAGTGAACTCAAAAACAGTCAAAAATGAGCAGGAATATTTAACAGAGGCTAAACTTAGGGGCACAGTCTGTGACTGGTTTACAGAATCTGGCTAATGTTAGATAAGCTGGCACCACCAGCTTTTGTTCCTCCTGAAAGATTTATATCCACATGCCTGTGCCGGGACCAGTAAAATCATGATTTTCTATTCCCATTGTTCTTTTAATTAATAAAGACACTTCCTCGCCTTAAATGATTTTAAGATATATGAATAATTTCATTAACCAACAAATGATTCAGGGATAGACGAACACAAAAACTCAATATGCACCATAAACTTAAAGGGATATTCCAGCGTAAACTCTCCTCCTGCAGCCGCTTGTTTGTGGGGGAGCCCTGATGAGTCGATCATCGAGTGCCGCTAAGTTTCACCACTCAAGGAAGAGCAGTCACGATTATTACTTCATGGAAATGCAATCAGACCGAAACAGCAGAAGAACTACCGCGTCTGCAGTGTAAAATGATTATAATGATGATTATTAGTTCAAGGAAATGATCCAATACTGCTGGAGGAGAGTGGGTGAGTTGTGTTTAGTCTCTTTGCTAAAGAAATTAGGCAAAGCTAAAAAGATGTTTGGTGGCTAGTACTATGGCTGGGACCATATGTTTACTTTTGATGAAGTTAGGTGCTGTTCTGAGCATTATTTTTTTGGCTATAGAGTAGCTTTTTGGTTGAGGTTTGCATGAGAAGATATAGACCGCTGCATATTGCCATTGTGCAATCAATACTAAAGTTGGTACAACTAAAATGGCAAGGAGTCAGCAACATTCATCTCTCGAGGGGATGTCTACTTCGGAGTTACTGTGTGTTTGACCATAACTTAAATTCATGCCAGCATATCCCTTTTATGTTACCAGAGTTACTGAAAAACATCCCGATGCGTTTTCATTACATGCACTGGAAAGTAAAATTACATTTTTCTCTCCTTTTTGTCCATGAGGGATCCATGACTCAGTGAATTTATACAATCTCAACTCTAGGTTTTGTGATACCTTGCAGCCCTGTATTAAAAAAAAAACTGCATTCTGACACCCAGAGGGGAGTAATATCCACTTTCATAACTCACTCTTTTTATCACACCTTTGTAGATTTTTGCCTTACACTTCTCTGTGTGCATCTAATTTTCTCTCATATAAAGAATGAACAACCTTAATGTTTTTTCTCTCAAACAAGGTTTTATGTCTCTGTGTGTGTGCATTCTCAAAATGGACCTGTCCATGCGTAATGTGAATGTAAAATAAAAAAAACGATCCATACCTGGCCTCAATAGTCCACAAACCATATCCTTGCTCTGCGGCTCATTACTTTGATGAATATTATTGTTGTTCTAATCAATACCTGACCAGCTAATGAGCCAGCCAACCAAGCATGAGAGCCCACTGACGAACAAATTAAGCTCATTGAAAGCATACAGCAGGAAATGAAGTGGGAAGTTATTTGTATTTTTTGCCACCTTTTAAAAACTTTGAGCCGTCTGTGTCAAGGTGAATGGTTCATTTTTATTTTTGGATCCTGCATACAGCCTGGGGAGCAACCTTGGACATTATGCTAAGCTGTGAAATGACAAAGCGATGACTCAAAGGTGAGGTAGGCTTCAGAACCGCCAACATTTGAGAGTAAATCTATAAGAGAGCTTACCTGGCTCTTTGCTGTGTGACAGGATGCTATCTTTACCTATGAGGGAGCTGCACAATCACAACATCAGGTGACCTGAAAATAGCCCCGATCTAAAAATAAAAAGCTATTTCTACAACCGTGTCTGCTCTCAGAGGGATGAAGGAGAATAATGTGCAGGTAATCCCACAGTGTCGCCACATACATATCTTTATATCTGAGAAGCTTCCTCTTAAAATTCCCACAGCGGCTCAAAGTCTTAAAGCGCTGAGACTGTGTTTGTGTTTTGCTTAATATCACCTTTCTATTCTCAGTGCCTCTAAAGCGGCCGGCAGCTGATGCAGATCACAGCTAAGCATGTGCGCGATTTAACAAGAGTTTCTGAGAGCTTTACCAGCAGCCAGAGAAAACCACAAAACGTGTGTGTGTGTGTGTGTGTGTGTGTGTGTTTGTGTGTGTGTGTGTGTGTGTGTGTGTGTGTGTGTGTGTCTCAAGTTAAATGTGTGTCTGCGAGAGGAAGAGTTCAAGAGCCGAGAGAGTTTTGGGGCGAGTGGATGAGTGTGTGAGTAAGTGAGGGGGGGGAATGGTGGCGTCAGTGAATTAGCCTCTGAATGAGTGTGTGTGTGTGGAGAGTGGAGTCAGGCAGGGGGTGTGTAAAAGAGTGGGTGAGTGATTGGGTTCGACATCGAGTGAGAAAGGAATTGAAGATGAAGGCGCGTGTGTGTGTCTGTATTTCATTCATCTTTGTGGGTCATTCATCAGCCTACAGACAGAACACTGGGTAACTACACGCTAGATAATGTGCAGCACATAATGGCTACAAACAGTGAAGGATATCACCATACTCTGACTTGACACACACACGCACACACACACACACAGCAACCCAATACAGCCAAGCTTAAATATTTAAGAGGAGCTGGTGCCGGGCTGTTTGGACAGGGGGACTCTATGTGTGTATTTTAGATATGCGTGCATGTGTGAGTGTGTATGTGTGTTGGTGTGTGTTTTGGATGTGAGGCGGTTGTTTCCAGCCGAGGCCATGTGGAAAATTGCCTCCCCTCACTCCAGTTACACAGAAAAAAATAGGTTCCTCTACTGTGCCATCTCCATCTCAGTGTACATAGAGGCGCAAAGATTTAAAGAGAAGAAAAAAAAAGCTGCTAAAACCCAGATCACCTGACAGATCCATCTGAAGCCCATTATCACCCTGACTTTGGGAAAGGCTTGTCTTCTGTGTGCAGACAGACTTAGGCTGTGGGTTTCCACATGTAAACGTACTTGGACAGCGAGGATGTAAAGTTTGTGCAAGTCGATCTGGAATTAAAAAACTTCAATAAGACAAAAATGGGTTCAGTTATGCACATTTTTCCATCACAATTCATGTGGATGAATTTTTACTTTTATATCAGTAATAACTAGCTAACATTGGTGGCACCTGAGATCTCTCACACATGCTCTGAGTCTGCACTCCTGAAGATTTATCTGACATTGTCTTTGTGGCTCACATGTTTGAACCCAACTGCATATTTACACTGAGCTAGAGCAGCCCGCTGGAAAAAGTCTGTGAGGAGTTGGCAATTTCCCCTTTACTGGACCGGGTTGGTCTCGCTGACATTAGAAATCTCTACTTTATCAGAGAGCTGGCCAAGACAGCTGCAAAAAAGGCAACGTTATAATAATAATAATAATAGATTTTATTTGTAACGCACTTTACATTTGAAAGACTTTACATTGACAGTGTCAGTCTGTAAGGGGAGAATCATGATAGGTTTATATTAACTGCTGGAAACGTAAGCCTGTATAATTTTGTAAAAGTGCTTAAGAATACATGTTCACGTAAAGCATATGAACAAACAGATGAACGTGTGGTTTGAAGTTCATTTAACTCTAATGGACATCCATTCAAGCCTTAGATAACTGCATTATTGGATTCTGTAATCAATACAGTGAATCAAACTTAAAATGACAATGACTGCTTTTGTTATACGACTATTTAAATGCAAATAACTCATAAACGCTCACTTGCGCAGTATCCCCTTTAATGGGCCTCTCTCCATAATGGGTCTAGTGAATGACCGTCAATTTGTATCCATCCTTCACTTATTATCATACTACTTAATTATGTATCAGCTGACCTTTTGGAGTATGGCTGTACTGTGCCAAACTGTCACTTACGCATGTCACAGGACATCCACCTGTGCGCCAGGTTTTTTCAGGGCTGGTTGCTTTCCCTGTATGAGCATCAGTCATCAAGACTAGTGCTATGATGTGTGCTGGCAGTTTGTAAATGGTACTGACTGGTCCGTTGTTGTTACAGAACTTTCAGCTAATCCATGCAGACCTTTAATATTAAGGACTGTGATAAATATTTCACTATGTTGTACTGTTACAGGTACTTTCTAGGATGCCAAATGAGAAAAAAGCGATCGGTAGACAAAAGGAATCTATTCTCCCACAGTTGCGGTAACACTTCTTATCTAATCTAGTGCTGCAGATGCAGTACTCGATGTGATGCAGAATGTGCAGGAAAAGGGAGAAGGGCGAGCAGAGGGAGGACAAATTAAAAAAAAAGGAAAGGTGAAAGGGCACAGGAGATGGATTAGGGGACATGATGGATTTAGAGAGAGGATGGCTATTTCAGCTCTTGTAGCAGAGTACAGAAAGGAGTGACTTCTCATTACAGCTTTTTGGGTTCAGAACAAACTGAAGCACCAAAGTACTGCATTCACAGAAACACAATACAGCCAGGTGTGGACTTCACAAAAGTTTAATAATGATGATTTGGGATATTTTTTAAGCCATTTGTGCACTTACAATCAACAGACCCTACTGAGAGCCAAAGAACTTCCTAAAATAATCATAAAGTAAAAAAAACAATGTTCAGATAAAAAAAAAACTGAGCCAAGAATCTAGTCTGACAACATGTGTGTCATCATTTACAAACAAAAATGCACTGTAAAGTTAAAATCTCGAGGATAACTGTGGTCCAGAGCAGAGTAACTTTTTTAAACACCTTTAACTGCGTTGGTATTTTAACCATCACTGCACACTTCAAGATCCATCAGCAGTATTTGTTTAAGTTGTGCAATCTGCCTTAAAAAAAAATTATATACTAAGCTAAAGATGAAGATGAAAACACCTGTATGTAAAAGAAAGATAGGAATATAGCTCTGTGGTTTTCAGTGGTCTTCAACTAACTCCAAGTTCAGAGGGAACATTTCTGGACAGAAAAACACTGCAATACTAGATGGATGTGTTGAGGCAGTCTGGCTCAGTGTAGGTAAATCATTTTCACTCATTCCGGGACTGTCCCATACTTTAAGTATACTAGAATCACATCCATAAAACATTAAGCAAAGTGTTTAAGACTCAAATACCCATGACTTTTTAAGGGTCTGTCTCTTGGTCTATCTATCGATCAAGCCTTTTTGGCAGCAAGTAAAAAAATGAATCACCAGAAAATGGCTTAAATCCAGGAGCACCCACAGATGACTTGTTTTGGAGAGATCTTAAATGGAGAAACTGACCTTCTCTTTGAGGATCCAAAATGACAAATTCTACTAAACCTGAAACAAGACCATTTGTAACTTGACAATCTGTGTAAGATACATATGCTAACCTCGATAACGATAAATGAACAATAACTACTCCACAAGCTGCTCACCCCCTCCCACATTAACTTCATCTACTTCAGCCGTCGCTCCAGCCACTACAACTTTTGAACTGTCCTCCATCTCCTCACCTGTCTTTCCCTCTTTGTTACAGACTGGACGGGGTGAAGTCACGTCCCTGACGTAGGACAGAGCCTTACAAGGAATTTAAGACCATAGCCTACCTACACACATCCAAAAGCAACTTTTATTTTTTTATTTTTTTGACACTGAATATTTCAATAAGGGTAAAATGACGTTGCTTATTGTTGTAAATTTTGGTGTAGTAAATTTTCGGTTTATCGCCCAGCTCTTCCAGAAAATGGTTACTAAGATGTTAACAGCAGAAGTGACAGCAGGGATCAAGTGTTGATTACTGATGATGGAGGTGAAGTTTAAAATGCATGTTTGTGAGTTAGAGTCAAAAGTACAAAAGGGTTTGTTTAACTGTAAATAAGAATGGAAGTATTACAGGGCGGTGTGACCTCACTACTGTCTGTGCATATGCAAATAAAAGACTGGGAAAGGATAACTTAAGGTTTCAGAGTGCTGTAAATTTTGTCATATTACTTTCCAGATAATAGAATAAGAATGCACATTTAAAAAAAAAAAAATATATGGAGCATGGTGCTAGCTCAGACAGGCAATTCATGCCTATGTCTGATGTGAACTGCCACTGAGGAGGTGTCTCAGTAGCCTGTGGGTCTTCTCTACCTGTGTCACCTTTTCATGTACTGTATGTTTATGGAAAGCTGTGCATCCTCCTCCTAAGGCTGTGACATTCTACGTACACATGTGCAAAGAAAGGAAGCCCTCAAGACAGAGCCATACCACCAAGTATCACTGCCTAAAGTAGTTTGTACTGCACTAGGATTGTTGTCCTGAGTTAGACTGAGTTTGCTATCCCTTTCCAATGTGTCCTTAACTCTGGGTGAATTGCATTTTAAGCACATGTAACGCTCTAAAAAAGTAAGTGTAGTCATACTGCTGCATTTTAAAATATATAAGGTGTTGCATGACTCAGTTGCTCACTGAAGTGACATGACATAACTTCCAGTTATATAACTGAATATCCCAAACAGTGCTGATGGCACTGAGTGGGATGATGAAGAAAGGAGTTAAACAGTGAGACCTGCGATGGCCGTAAGAAAATCATGATTTAGTCCTGCAAAAAGGTGAGAAGAGAAAGAGGAGGAGAAGAGGACAAGAGAGGATAGGTAAGAAGAGAAAGAGGAGGAGAGGACAGGACAGGGAAGGACAAGAGACAGCAGGTAAGTAGAGAAAGAGGAGGAAAGGAGGGAGCTTTTGTTGTTGTTTTCAGTTTGTTCTAATTGTTGTTGTTCTCTGTAGTTCATTTTCCTGACATGACATGATTTCTGCTGCTCCCCTGAGTCCAATTCAAAATACAGTATCTCACTTGGTGGTTATTTGTCAAGGAAAGTAAAACAAGCTCCAGTGAAGCACACAGAGGCTCCTCTTCAACTAACAGAAGTTTCCACATTCGTTACATCTTCAAAGGAAGAACAGAGAGACGTTTCTTTTCAACAGCGTAACCCGCCTCTTGTCAGGTTAGTGTTCTCGCACTAATCACAGAGCTGCTAAGTAACTGTCAAACTGTTTGCAGCAAAGCAACAAGAGTGACACTCAGTCTCCCCTTTTAGGATCTACTTTTCTCTGCTCTAACAATGACATTCAAGATTATTTTTCCCATCAGGTCAGAAGGTTTGTGTTGAGATAATGTTGCTGAAAGGCTTTTAACTTTTAACACCAGCTTCTGCAGAATATTGGAACAGGTGGAGAGAAAAAATAAATGGTCAAACAGTACATTGTTCAGTGTCTCAGCACCCCTGAGGAGGCATAAGGTTTGTTTTCACAGGAATACTGTAATGAGTCAGTATGTGTCACAATAAACTATCAGCTTTAACAGCTAAGACAGCAACTGCTGGAAGCTCCATTTAACCTGCTGGTTTGTTCTACTTCAGATAATTTTATTCTTCCCTGTGTTTTCTAACATTCTTACAATGATTTCAGAATTCTTAATTAAAAAGATCTTGGAAGGATAATGAAATTAGGGCTGTCAGTTTTTCAAAATCAACTTTAAACAAAACTAAGAGGAGAACACAAAGAAGTTGTATTGATGTTATACACTGCAAACAGAAGATCGCACATGAAGGGCTGTTTTTTTTTTTTTTTAAATATCAACTTAGAGCTGATACGGATCATGAGGTACAAATGTTTGGATACGCTTAAGTTTTGGAGTTTCGTCAGTGATGGCCTTCCTCCATGCCTCTGGTAAAGGGCCTGCTGTAAAAAAGGCAGTTGTCTAGGGTTGAACACTTGC